CGGATGCATCACTCTGGGCGGCCTGTCCCTGCCTCACATAATACACCCCTCTGGTCGCCTGTCCCTGATTCACACCAGTCTCCATCTATGAGGGGCTCCGCATGGATCTTCAGGGGTGCTGTCTTTCCTGGTTAATGCTGCCTTCATCCCCCCTCATTCACAGCCTTCATCCTTCGGGATTTATCTCTGTGCTCTAGCTTTTATTTCATGACTCTGTTCACACTCATCTGTGTATTTATTCACTTCATTGCACACTCTGTCATCATTGATGTGGGGGGGGGGCTTAAAATGCTTGCTCGTGTGTACACCACCATGTAAGAGTTTTCATTATTGTTGTTATTTAGCTCCAATTCTTTGCATTGCTGCTGCTGTTGCTGTGTGTGTATGTGTAACTGATAATATTAGGCCTGGATGCATATTTAATTGGAAATTACTCAAATTATCCAAAAACTGAGTAGGCAAGCTAAAGTAACTACAAGTGATGAAATCGTTGTAATTAAATCCTTAGTACCGGATTCAGTATTTCCTGTCTTTCGTACATTTCAGTTTCAGAAAGTCAGTTTTTTAGGAAAGTGGAAATAATAATTTATCAAGATACAGTGCTGAGGTGTAGTACACTGGAGTAAAGATTTTAGTTATGATCGTATGTAGTGTTGTTTAATGTATAAGAATATGAGGGGTTTTTTTTTTTAAAGGTAGCTTATTATACTAAGAAACAGATGATCTTCCTAAACTATGTTAGCTGCACTTAACTTAGTAAGTGCTAAAATAATGATGACTGGTAAAAACATTTTTCAAATTCTTTTTGCTTAAAATTAAATGAAATTCTCCATTTGGTACTTGATCTCTCAGATAAATTAAGTCTTGCCAAACCCTCTGAGAATCAGACCCTAATAACTAGTGAATCAGACCCTAAAAACTTATAGCATTTGAGACATAATAGCTATGTACTGCAATTTATAGGGCATAATTAAGTAAAGAATTTTTTTTCACATTTAAAAATGTATACTAGTAAATCTTAGCCTGGCTTAAGTGAATCTAGTTCAAGCCAGCTGCTGAGAAAAAAACATTTCTTTTGCTTTGGTGTATATACAACGGGTGCTTATCTGGAATACAAGGAGGTTTGAGCCCCTTGACTTCAGGATGCATATGGTCTAATAGCTTGAATTTTCCATGGGGCAGGATTTCGTTTTGTTCGTGGGATCACTGCAGCCAAATGAATGAGTAGGCACCAAATAGATGAAAATTACTCATAACTTTACAGATACTTGACATTATGTTAACTGACAGCAGGTCATGATGTATAGGAATTGCATGTTTTTGAGCTTTAATTAGTCTTTTAAAATCAGGTTAAGAATTTCCATCATGTTTTTACCATTAAGCATTCATTCCATAAAGAGTTTCATGGTGTTATTTATACATTTTTTTGAAAGCTTAAAAAAGAAGGAAGAAGGTGCTAAAAAAAAAAAAGCGCCAAAAGAAAGATCAAATATTTTGTAAGATGAAATGAAACTCTCCAACTCTGAAATCTACTGAGTAGGATGAAAAAAGAAAAGGAAAGACTAGATTAAAAATAGAAAGTAGGAACGACAGGAACTCAAAATTCTATCACATAGAATCTGTATTAGATGCAGATAGCCAATAGGTTGTGAGCACCTCCCCAAGAGAAATTGGGTTGAGAGTTAGACTAATTGAATATTATTTTATGAATAAGATACTCTAAGAAGATACGCCAAATGCAGTAACATACAATCAATTGTAGGTTTGTATCGTCCTTTATTATGACCCATGTGTGTTCCCTGCTTTTTAGATCATTAGTCCTCTTAATTAGCTGCTAATGAACTGAGTGGTTTTATGGTCACCAAGCCAGCCACTCCTTAAACAGTCCCATGTAGGTAAGTGTGTGAGCAGTAGAGCACTGAGCCAGCACACCTCCTAATCTGTTGTGTTCACAAATGGCCAAAGGAATAACAGTGAAAGAAGGATAAATATAGTCACCTGGCAAAAATATTTGGCCTTTCTCATTATCATGGAAGTTATATTTAGAAGAAATGTTTTTGGTAAAAATATTTGAAAGTTTGTTTTATAATCATAAGGAGCTTGGGTTATTCTGACTGAGGGAGGGTTGCATGTGAGAGGCTGGGCAGCTGATAGGGACTGTGGAGTTTGCCAGTTGGAGGAGGGAAATGAGACGATTGAGTTCATCGGTATAGAATAAGAATAGAAAACATGAAGGATATAGAATCTTGAAATGTCAGGCTTTCCCTTAGTTATTTGGTGAGACTTATAGAGAAATGGTGGAAACCACCAGGAATTAAGAAAAGAAAGAAAATTACTGTGAAAAATGTTTCCATACCCTTTTCCTGGTATTCAAATAGAGTGTAGTTCTGGTCCAGTTCTGGTCAGTTCCCTCTCACTTCCTGTTTTACCAACAACTTGACTTGTGTTCTCCTCAAGCTGCACTGCTTGAGTTCCCTGTGTGTGTTCTGATTTAGATCCTCCAAACCCCCCATCCCCACGCAATTCTTTATGCTATGCCTCAGGTC